ACTTAATGGAGCGAGATGCATTCCAGACCTCTGACCTCCAGAACTGTAAGATGAATTTGTGTTACTCTAATCCACTACATTTGTGGTATTTGTTACGGCAGCCATAGGAAACCATACAACTCTCATCAAGAGTGTGGGCAAAAACAAAGACGTCCCCAGACAAAGAATTTTTCATGCACAGACCTTTGCTGAAAGAACTTCCTAAGGATACATGCTTTCAACAACAAGAACATTAAACCCAGAGAAACAGTGTATGAAAGAGACCCTGGTAAGCACAGCAATTGGCAGGGACGCAGGGGCAGAAGGAACCCCTCCTGTGGCACCAGTGAGTAGAAGGAATGGGGAGCTGTTCCACAGAGCCACATGGCAGGACGTGCTGAAAGTAAGAGCATGCACGACCAGAACTCAGCTACCTCCCTCCAGGACAGGTACTCTGGTACAGTCCACCTGGGGCTGCAGGGGACACGCGCATGGGGCTGTGCACCAGGGCGTTATTTGTAGTGGGGGAGAGTTTGGTTGTCTGGCACAAGTGGACAACCGGGTTGCCAAGTGGGTGACCAGGAGACATGGTATATATATAGAAAGGTGGGCAGACCTTAGAGTGCTGAGAGGAAAAAGAAAAATGGGGGGAGAGGAATGGTATGCAAAAGGAATAAATAAATTAAAAGAAGGACCTTTCATGGATCCATGAGTATGCCTTTAACACAGGAATGCAATTAGCTTCTCTCTCTGCCCCTTCAGGCCACATTAAAGCAAACAAGTACAAGAAAGCAAACATAAAGATGGGCATGCAGGACACAAGAGGTTGCGTGAGGTCAGACAGTGAGATGCTGGTGATGAAGACTTTGGTGCAAGGGCCGGCACAAGCGAGTGTCTGGTGGGGTGGGTGCGCAGGTGGGTTTCTCAAAGGGAGGGAAGTTCACTGAAAAAGTGAGTCTAGGATAAGGGCAAGGTGGGTCAGCTGCTGGGCGTGTCACCTCCGGGGCACTGCAGGAGCACAGACAAGAGGTGAGTCTGCTGATGAAGTCCCCTGTGAATGCGGAGCACAGACGAGTGACATGGTGTTTCAGGAAAGTCACATTTTACAGCTAACAGCAGTGCTGAGTCGGCCGAGGCAGAAGAGGGAGCGATCACAGGCAGAAGGGAAATGAGCACAAGAGTGCCACACTGTGCGGCCAGGGCTCTGCTCCGCAGTTCGCTGAAGGGCCTGCGATCCAATGGCCACACCAGGGAAACAGGCAGCGATTTGGCTGTCTTCCTGACTTCTTACCAGCTTTCCAGCAAAGGGAGTCAGCTACTTTCTTAAAAGTCAAGGGTTTGCCTTTAAGTAGCCTGACCTCCTCACAGGAGCAGGGGTTGGAGGTCAGCTGGGCATGAAGCAAACACTGGTGCCCACAACTAACAACTAAAAATGTTCCCTCACAATCTCCATGGTTCACATGTGCACAAAGCCCTTGTAGAGCAACTGGAACTGTTTGCAAAGGAGACAAGAAAGAATCACAGGTCTCAGGGTTCTCTGCCTTGGACCCCACTTAGAACTTCCTCCAACTATAGGAAGGAAGGGAGACACGTTGTACCAATAATGCCCTGTTGGGACCAAATCAAGATATATAAATGCACAGATGGCTTCTTCCCCAGGGAACAAACTCATGTGCCTTCACATAGTGTTGTAGAATGCCAGGAAGGTTGATCAGTGGAACCCTCAGGAATCTGGCACCCACGTTACCATGGATGGCAGTTCATTAACCCATGGTCTGTGTGGAAGGAGGCAGCAAGGGGGAAAGGGTGGCCAGACCTCAGGAGGGGAGTCCACCCGAGGACAATGCAGACTGCATCCCATAATAAGGCTACCCAAGGTTTGATGCTAAAAGGTAATGTCAGCGTGGACTAGGATAAGACTATCAAACTTCCGTGGGGCTCAGTTTTCTCATCTCTAAGAAGGGCATAACAGCAGTACCTGTCTTGTAAAATTCTGATGCAGATCAAATGAGGTGTATGTAAGTCATTGCTCATCACAAGTAGAAGCTCAGAATACATTCAGTGGGGTAATACAGCCTTAAAGTCTTGCTTTGCCTTCAGAGGTATCTGTTTTTAGTCTCAGAGGGTTATGTTTAGTCAGGAAATGTTCAAAAAATGTTAATACCATCAATGTTAACAGGTCCTTAAAAATAAACTATCAAGATTGCATTGAAAAAAAAAAAAAGATTGTGTTGGTAAGTGGCTCCTTACAGAACTGCCTGCCTTCCTTCACTGGATGGGCAGGGGAGTTGTGCGCGGAGCCGGGAAGGCCGCCTTCCCCCTGGAGCCCAGGGAGCCTGTATCCTGCCAGATTCCCGGGTGAGCACGTTCGTTCCCGCCCTCCCTCTTCCTTCCAGCTTGTGCGTGGACAGAGCAGGGCAGGCTCTTCACAGCAGGTGGCTTCCCCCTCAGACACGGGGTTCACCAGTGCCACATGCGGGCCCAGGAGGAGCAGGCTAGGTATGAGCGGAAGGTGCCAGAAAGGCTGTAGCTCTCTCTTTCGCTCCACCTGGGAAGACCGGTAAAGATGTCTGGAGCGGCCCTAGGCCCACGACTGAAGGGCACTGCCCTCTGTTTCCTGTCCCTGAGCACTTGCTGGGATTACAGTGAGGAAGTATGCTGGGCTCTGAACCCCATTCATTGGTTTAGTGGCGCAGGGAGGGCCCGGGCACATTTCCTTTGAAGAAGCTCCCCAGGGGTTCTGACACATACGCTGGGCGCCAGCGCAAGAGGGATGAGTGACAGGCCCTGTTTCTCTGGCCAGTAGTGTCAGGGCCACGTCCTGCTCCATGAACACTGACACGCTGCGCCGGACTGCTCAGCCCCTGTGTGGTTAGGGGGGCGTCTGTCCAGTTCTGGCCAACGCGCGGTGAGCAGAAGCACTGAAGTGCAGGGTGGGTCCATGCAAGTAACGTTTACGATAACGTACTGCCGTCCCCCGGGGTTCCCGAGGGGATACATGCAGCGGAGTTGTGTGCCCACCCCAAACCTGCATCGGACATGCAGTACAAGCAACAAGTAAGCTTTTTTGGTCTGCTGCCACTGAAATTTGTGGGGCTGGTTCATATAACTATTGTTATCCTGACTGCTGTATCAGCCATCCAGAGAAGAGCCAGCCAGGACTCCCAGACGGAGGTGGGAAGGAGAGCTCTGCGGTGAGACCCACTCCTCCCAGCGCCTGCCTGCGGGGCCGGACTGGGGCTAGGAGTGTTACAACAGCCTTGTTTGTCTTTTTAACAAATCTCTTAAGAATTTAAATGTAGCTGATATTGGCATCCTCTTTCTCATATAAAGAAACTCCTAAGAAAAAATGGAACAAGTATGAACAAAATTCAGCCAAGGACCAAAGAGAAGACTGCTTGTACATGACTATCAAGTCATTAAAGCTGGGAGATATAGACAGATCACTGTCCATCATCCATACCTCATTTTTTAACTTGAAAATCAAGGAAGAGTATAAAGAAGAAAAAAATGCTGATCCTTTCACTGCCTAGATTTAGCCTCTATTAATATTTTGGCATATCAGCTTCCCTTTCCAGGCACATACTTCTACATATTAGAAGTTACACAATTTTAAGAATATATTCATTTAAAAAATAAATTAGCTAGAGGAAAATTCGAGTACCTTTTACCTACACATCCAGGTACTTGCTTCTCTCCCCACCATAGCTATTATTATGAGATTGGTTCATATTGTCCAGTCTATGTTAAATATTCTTAGATACACACATATGGAGTCGATGCAAATTTATACATAAATTCATAGTAAATATAAAGTATTGCGTTGCAGTTCTGTATTTTCCATGTACAGACACTTGGGCCAAGAAAAGCATCACGGAGTGGAAGGTAGAGTGGGAAGAGCTCAGATGGGAATTAAGGCCAAGTAAGGTGAAGCAGATGAATCTCTGTTTAACCTACATAAGGCCACGGCAATTTCACTTCCAGAAATATCTCCACTGTTACTGATTTCGAGTTAAAAATATCAAAGAGATACTGACTTAGCATATAACAGGAGACAACTCAAAGTGAATGGCTGCTTTGGAGACACGCCACACTCGAGACACAGCAGTATGACACTGTCAATCTTATTTCCTGGTAGGGGTGGGTGGCCTCATAGTAAGTATATATTAAAAATAAATTAATTAGTAGAAAGAAGTACATGATAAAATGTTCAGTCAACCTTTAAGGTAAATATTTTTCTGACCAGGCCCTTTGGTTTCATTTGGATTTCTCTTTCCAGCTCCTTTAAGCAGGACCACTAATGGACAAGTGCACTTGGAGGTAACAGGTTAGCACTGAAGGTGGACTGATTTGGTGCTTAGAACCAGTTCATGATAGAGAACTCATGGTTCTAGGGGAGGAACTTGGGGTCACGTAAGAAGATGCTCTGTACGTCACCCCAGGTGGTGAATTCATGGGACAAGGGCTTGACCTGTGTGTTGCACACACTGCTAAACAGGACAGCTCTGGACCCCCACAGCCACAGCGTCCTGGGTGTCTCCTGCAGGAGAATGACTGTGTGCAGACGCACCACAGCCCATCACACCTGTCATCACCACAAACTTACCAGCAGCCCGATCTCCCTGAAGGAGAGGGGCTGGAAACTGAGTTCAGCCACATGGCCAAGGACCCCATCCATCACACCTATGTAATGAAACCCCATAAAAGCTCTGGATAATAAAGTTGGGTGAACTTCCCTATGGACAGTACTCTCAGGGTTGTCTGAAAAGGAGGTAGCACCATCCAGTTTCTATGGGGAGAAGAAGCTGGAAGCTTTGCCTTTGGACCCCTTCCAGACTTCACCTATGCATCTTTTATTTTGGTTCTGATTTGGTCTCTTTTTACTGTAATAAAACTGTAATCATAAGTTTAAAAGAAATGGCCCAAAGGAGTATACGACAGGATTGTTAACTCTGAAAAGCTCACGGAGTGCACGGGCTCTCACAGAGGGACGATGTGTGGAGGGAATTTCTTCTTCTTACCTGTGGCCTTCCTCTCATGCCTCCTTTCCCAGCTTCATCCCCCTAGGATGAAAAAGGCTGCATTACCAGGAATTTGGGGTTACTTTCTGTTAGACAGGATGAGGTATGGGGGGAAGAAATGGGTGCTCAGGAATTGTCCTTTTTCCTGGCATTAGAATATCTGGAGTGTAGAGTGTTTATATTTTAAAAGACTTTAGCTGAACTGGGTGATTCCATTTTTATTACATGGCTCTTATGAACACAGAACAATGAAATCCCTTCATAAATGTAACATTCATTCAGTAATCAAGAGTAGTTGGTTTGGAAAAGACAGACACTCGTGTCTTCTTATTACTGTGGAAATACTGCCCTTCCCTCCATTCAAGCCAAGTCAATTAACTAGCATTAAGTGTTTTAAAGATGTTTTGAAGGGGAGTGGAGGAAGTAGAGAGACGAAAACTTCAGTCTAGGGTGACTTAAATTCGGCTCAAAGCAGTATGACTTCTAGTCTCTTGAATTTACTGTGGTGATGTCCACAGATTCAAAGAGAAATTGTACCCCAAGGATGAAGGAAGCCCAGGAGAGTTGATGGAATTCATTCCTGGACATGCTGAAACACCCAGCATGGGGTGCGAGGGTGCGTGGGGTGTGAGGGAGAAACTGCTACCACCACCTTAAGCCATGAATTCGCAGAACTCTCTGATGAATTTGTACAAAATCTCAGAAGAAACTTGCGTGGCCTGTTTTCTACTCAAGTCTATGATTCGATGGGACAGATTCATCACGAGCCTATGGTGACATCTAGTTTGTTTTTTGCCAAACTATCTGGGAAAAGCGTTAGTCATTTTTGCTACATGGCAGTTGACCTAAAAAATCACATAAAAAATGGAAACAGTGTGGAGAAGCTGGACCTTCCATCACATGTCTCTGCTATGAGCTGCCAATACACCTTCTGTGTTCATCCCTCTCGATCATTTGCTATAACCATTGTAACGCCCTGTTTACTTGCCTCAACATCCTTCAAGCCATAAACTGTGTTCTGTTCGTCACTATAACCCCCTGCTGGGCACAGAGGAGATGACCAATCATGTTTATGAAATAAATAAATGAATGAAAAGCAAAGTGCTTCCTTTCTAGAGTAATTAATTCTACCTTGCCTAAATTAAGCTTGGTTCTTTAAGTGTAAGGAAATGAATAGTTACAGAGCATGCAAAAATAAATGATTATCTCATTTAATAATGAGCTAGAACCAATAATAAAAACTGTCTGCCTCTTGTTCCCTTAGTTACTGCTCTGCCAACCAGCCCAATCTGTTAACTGACATTACAGATCTAATCTAATTAAATTTTGAACAAGGCTCAGAAAACCTACCCAGAGCACTTTGTTTAATTATAGGCAGTGGGGCAAGCACCAGTCCTATTGATCCGGTCAGTGAAATTCTACACAGTGAACAGAGGCAATGAGAAAATGTAGCTCCAATTGCTTTTCAGACAACTTTGATGAACATGGATTCAGACCTTCTCCAAAGACGGGAAAGGCAAACGAGCCATGCATCGTGTGGTATCACAGAGATGGAAGTGGAACTACTCAGTCAACTCCACAGAACTACCAGGAAGAACAGAAGACAGATTCTTCCTCAGGGAAATGAAATACAGTGGGTGGTGAAGTCATCCAGGGGAGTCTAGTGAAGTGGCATTCAAAAGCATCTAGCAAAGTCTATGAGACCTACAATGTTTTGAAATGCAGAGAAAGAAATCCATTTCATGGGTATGTATATAAATTTCCAAGGACCTTTCCAGGTGAGGAAGAGATACAAGTTACTCAACATTTTGTTATTTGGAAATAATCAAAATACATAAATTTATATAAAACCACATTAACTGCATAACTTAAAAAGGTAATATATGTGATCAGAAGAAAGGTTCTCTAAGTGGCTTATGTCAGTTAATCTTCCTGCTTTGGGTACTATTATTATCCCATTTCACAGCAGGGTAAACCAAGGCACAGAGCAGTTAGGTAACATGCCAAAGATTCACAGTTACTCAGTATGACCTTGGGTGGTCAGGTTCCAGACCTAGTGTACTACCACTAACCATGCCGTTCTTAATACTAACTTCTGGAGCTGAAGAACATACTTGAAGAAAGGGGACTGGTTTTTATCTTTTGCCAGTCACAATCTAGAGCTATCTTGTGCGTTAGTAGATCAAATTAGAAGAGGAAATTTATTCTAAGCCACAACGTGTAATTACACATAGGACCAACACTTCACTAAACATGCACCGTCAGAATGTGCCCCGTAAGAGCAATTTGGGCATTAGTCATCATGATCATGGCGTATGCCCCAGGAAGTTATAAGTGGTGAGGGCCTGACTAAGTACATTTCCTCAGCTCGCCCAGATAAAGTCTGCGGACAGGGATCCTTTGCACCTGCTGATATGCATAGGGAAATGGCATCCCACACAGCTGGGTCCTGAATGTGGGTTCAGACAAAATTACATTCAGATCTGAGAGATAGGAATGCTGGCCTTTCAATTATGACATTAGCCACAAATGAGGGAAAGAGCTGCTAATGTTCAAAAACAGCAATTGTTTCTATATTTCTAATAACGGCAATCAAGAGAACCTGATTGCATAGATTAAAAACAAAATGATGTACACATGCTGATCGAAGAACAAGTTATTTCCAAGATGTTCTTTAAGGAACAATGGTAAAGGATGATGAGATCAACTAGATTTATCTTTCCCTCTAGTTTCAGCTCTGTGTGCAAAATTACCAGAGTGCAACTAGAAAGCAAGCTTCCAGTATTGCCAAGACTGAGAAAGAAAGTAGGCCTAGCCATTCAAAGTGACATACAGAGGGAACATTCTGATTGAAGAATTCCTTGCTTTACCCCATGTCCAATCACAGATCAAACTGACGATCAAAGAAGTACTGGTGGGTCCTGAGCAAAAAACTCCATCTTTGGAAAACTGAATGATTTAACAACTCTGCCAAACACTTCTATCCTGAACCATAGCTCCTTTAGTAATGGATGTATTTCCTAAACAAAGTGGTTCACAGTCTGCTTCAGCCTATGGAGCCATCTGCTATGCTTGGGTGAATGCCAGGATGACACACACATACTCACATACACAGACACTTACATCACACACAGACCATACATGTACACACACATACATATATATGATTACTATAATAAGTATGAATTAGAGGAGATGACATTTTACCTGTGATTCAATACAGTAAATGAGTGCAGGTCCTATAAATTTAAAGAAAATCTTGTAGAAGAAATTGCAAAGGGGAAAATTCAATATACATTTGTGAATTATAAAATATTATTAGCCTATCTTAAAAGAAGGGCATTTTAATTGAGCTTGGGGAAGATGTGCATACCCTGGAGAATGGTGAGAGAAATCACCGCACTGATATAATTTTACCATTCAATTAGACTGGCGATTCCAGAGAAGAGTATTTTTTAAAATCTTACTTGCACACATCAGCATTTTCAAACTACTTTCTTTCAAGAATGACTTCATAACCAGAAATGGATGGCAATCCCCCAAACTACAAATGCCACACACTTCTTTGGGCTGCCCTTGGCTCTGTGTGCCGGAGCCTCTTTCAGCCGCACATGGTGGGGGAAAGGCCCCGGGCACGCGGGCCTTGGCGCGCTCACCCTCCTCCGAAGCCGGTCCCGCTCCTCGCGGATGGCGTTCATGGTGGCCTTGGTCCTGTTCAGCTCCTCCTCTTTGCTGCACAGCATGGCGGTCAGGCTCTCATTCTCTTCCCTCAGCCCAGCCAGCTCCTTCTCCCAGCGAGACCGCTCTTCAGCCAGGCTGGGATACAGGTCCCGGCCCAGCACCCCTTCAATCTCCTCGACTGTCTGGAAAACACAGCCACAAAGACAAGCCAAGGGAGTGACTGGGAGGAAGGGGAAGGGCAGGAGCAGGCGGGACAGGACCGAGAGTCCACAGAGAAGGGGGCTCTGCAGCCACTTCACTGCAGACAGGAATCATCACGAGCAATGCCCTCAAATCATCTTTCCCCCATTTTCAGATGAGGCTCTGCCACTTGCCTGGGGCAGAGTCTGTGTTAACGAGGAATCCCCACAGTGAGAAAAACACCATCCCTTCCTGGCACATAAATCTGTCTGTGGTGCTAACTGTCGCGTCCACACAAGTATTTATCTCCTTCACCCGCATGCCGGAGTTGATGAATACATATCACCAGACAGCAAGCCAGTTAGTGATCCTGAAAATGCAAATGGGAAGTTGCAAACGGCATACAAAATCTAACTTAAAGTTTCCTAAATTATAGGCCTCCCATGTTGCCATTCAGCAATACGACAGGTCACGTCACTGTTTCCAGCTTCTAGTGTCACATCAGAATTCAGAGAGTGTGAATGAGGTTCAGTCCCAAGATGTGAAAGACAAAAATAAACCTCAGCACACAGAAAAAAGGAAAATCATTGTGGAGGTTTCTGAGACAGCAGGGATTTAATAAATTAATAAGACAGCCATGAGCTAAAAGGGACAGAATCATAATAGTACTTGGAGAGTTTCAAAAAATTCATTTAAAACGGTATTAATGGAGAAGAAACATGCACAAAATGAGAAAAAAGGGAAGAACTTATTCTGCTTGCTTTCAGAAACTATTCATTCCCATTTATCGCCCTTTGGAAAAGGAAGCATAAGCCAACTGATTCAGCAAGAAGAGGGTGAACTGCTACGTGGGGCAGAAGGCAGTGAAGCTGATGAGAGACAGAAGGTCTCAGAAATGAGTGAGGTGAGGGGACGTCTGTCTTAGCCCCTCAGATGGTTCCCTGAGGAAGACACCCCAGTCTTTCTGCCACTTTCCACACATGGGGCTTTGGCCTTCCTCTTAGGTCAGGGACTCCTACCCCACCCAGCCCTGCTGGCTGGGAGACAAGTCCTTGGCGGCCGCCCTCCCTCTCAGGGCCAAGGTGGGGGCAAGCACCCAAGCTAACATTACAAATACAGTGCCTGGGAGACTCCCAGAGAAACACACACCGGCGGCTGCTTCCCCAAAGCACACCAACTGTGTATTTATAACTGAGATGGCTGGAGTAAGACAGAAAACCAGCTGGGCTATAAACATGAATCATGGTTTGCCTTGAGATACCGCAGCTCCTTTGTGAAGTCCAGGATTCCTGCTGATAGAAACTTGGGCCTACAGTCTTAAGGCATTTTTTGAAATAACACACACATTTTTCTTTTACACAGGCTCCTCCCTGTCTTTCCACTTCCAATTGTTGTGCTGAAGTTACTGAGCTAAGGTGAAGATTGAGAGACCAGGGGACCAGGATCAACAGGCCTTGATGATCCAACTGTTCATGATGCATTTGTGCAGGTGCAGCAAATTCCTCCCGCCTGGTCCTCCCAAAGCAGTAAGACAAGTGCATGTGAGGGCGCGGCTGGAACCCAGACTAGCATGTGCAGGTGACTTGTCAGGCCCTTATCACCCCCTTGTTGGCACCGTGAATTGATGAAACCTGAAATAATATTCTAAGGGCCCTATAGCTCTCATGAGACTTTCAGCTTGAGCTGCTAGTGCTATAGGACAAGCAATCCTAAAATGATGCGGCTCAAGACCAATGGTCTAAGAGTTTCCAAAGAAATTGTTGTTTCTGCAGCAAAGTCAGTGATTGTGACTCTTGTTGATACAATGATTTTTCCTTTCTTTTTTTTTATTAAGGTATTATTGATATACACTCTTATGAAGGTTTCATATGAAAAACAATGTAGTTACTACATTTACCCATATTATCAAGTCCCCACCTATAGCCCAATGCAGTCACTGTCCATCACTGTAGTAAGATGCCACAGAGTCACTATTTGCCTTCTCTGTGCTACGCTGTCTTCCCCATGACCCCTCACACCATGTGTACTAAACATAGTACCCCTCAATCCCTTTCTCCCTCCCTCCCCACCCTCCCTCCCACACCCCTCCCCTTTGGTAACCGCTAGTCCATTCTTGGAGTCTGTGAGCCTGCAAAACAATGACTTTTTTTATGTGAGTCAGCCCCACAAAAACTTACAGGGCCCCTGCTCCTCCCTGGTGGCCCCAGTTAGAGCATGGCTTCCTCAGAAATGCTCATCCCTAACAAGTATTGAGAAAACCACGTTTCCGAAGAGGAAGATCTAATCATTTCCCTCATACGATCTCAGGGGCGGACAGAGGCTGGGGAGGCTCTACCTTCATAGCCAGGTCACAGTGCTCGCTGGCCGTGGTGAGCTGCTCAATGTGCCTGTCCACCTCGGCCACGGACAGGCTGCAGCTGCTCTTCTTCCGGCAGCAGACGACATTCTCCAGCCCCGTCAGCACCCTCTGCAGCTCGGAGTTCAGGTCACTGCAGTTATCTGTGGGGGAAGGCGGTCAGGGTGAGCCAAGCAGGCAGGTGGGAATCACATGTTCTCCTTGGAGCCATGAGGAATGCATTCAGGCGAAAACCAATGGCCACAGAGGCTGATGCCTCAGAGTTTAAAGACCTGCACCCTAATCTCGCTGGCTGCTGGCACTACCTCTGAGGCTTGGAGTCAACGCAGGCAGTTCAGACCATGGCCATTTTCTAAATAGCCATGCCAGGCTGAATTCTCTTGTCTTTTACGTAGCAGCCATGTCTCAAGTTTCTTTAGTCAGAATAAAGAAGTGTCCCAGAAGGGGCTGGTGGGACTCCAGAAGCCTTCTGGTCAACCTTCCTACTCAGCCATTCAGACAAGCATGGACTCCAGCAAGAGTTTCAGCAAAGACGATCTCATAACTTTATTAAACAAAACAAAAAGGCCCAGAGTGAGCAGACACTATGCACTTTAAAAAAACAGAAACTTTAAGAGACGGTCCTTGCCCTCAGTGAGCTTATAGTAAGAACATTTTTCTGATATAACCAATTGACATGCTCTACTATGGCAATTTAACCCATTTTTTTCCATCAGGGGAAGGACAAACTGTTCTAACAAGTTCCATATTGTTTTCCATGCAGAGGTCCTGTAAACAATTCTGATAATTTGATTCCTACTTAAAAATCTGAGTTACTTTTAACTGCTAGACATCCAGGGCCTGGTCTGGGAAGGAAATTAATTGTAATCTTAACAGTAAGCTAGGCATATTTCAGAAGATAATTTTGTTGGGGGAAAAAAAAAAACTCCCCTTAAGATCAAATACAAACCGCTAACCCTTCTATTTTGGATTCTGTGTATCACCATGCCTTCAATTCTTGCAGCAAGACAGGTGTTAATACAGGCATCTCTCGATACACTCTGACTCCTGCACGAAGGCGTGCAGTGTCCGTGTCCCTTCGTCGCTCCTCCCCCTCCTTGTCCTGGCTCCAGGGACTCAGTTGTTCGGCTGCTCTTGGGGCTTGTCTTTGGAAGACTTGGAGAAAACTTAGCACTATAGGCACATGATTTATCAGAATATTTTAGTCAACTTTATCTGACTGCCGGTAACTCTAAAGTTGCCTAAATCTAGAGAGAAGACAGCGTGAGGCTTTCGTTCCAGCCCACGAGCATAATTATTCCCGCCCCATCTCACTCATCACTGTGAATGGAGCCACCACCCACCCGGTCACTCAGGTCAGCTCTCGGGCAACCCTGATTTCCTTTTGCCTCACATCCTAAACCCAATCCACCTGTGACTACAACCTCCAAGTCCTATCCCAGCATGACCTCTTCTTACCATCTCCACTGATAGCACCGTAGTTCAAGCCACCATCACTTCTCAGCTGAACTGCCTCAACAATCTCCTACGTCCATTCTCTACCCTGTAGCCAAAGTGAGTCTCTTAAGGACATAAGCCAGATCATGTCACTTCCGTTGCCCAAACCATCCAATGGCCTCCCACTGTCATTCAACTAAAGTCCAAATTCCTTACCAGAGTCTGTGAGACTCTACATGGTCAAGATTGATGATGCTCTCAATGCAGGGTGTCCCATGGAATTCCCTGGGAGGCTTTTATAAAATACCACACTGTCCAGGCCCCACCAAAGACCAATTAAATCACAGTCTCTGGGGGTGGGGCTTGGGCACTGGAAAAACTTTTTAAGTTCCTCAGGTAATTCCATGTGCAGCCAGGGTGAGAACCACTCATCTTGTCCTTCCCCGTCTGTCTACTCCTGCACATTCACCATGCTCTGCTCACACTCCGGCCTCCTACTCTCCATTGCTGGAACATGCCACTTTCTGTCTGCCCCAGGACTTCCTTTTCCTTTGCTGTTTCCTCTGCTGAGACTGATTTCCACCCAAATTTCTACTTATTATTCAGTTCTAAACTCAAATCACCTCCTCACCAAGCTCTTTCCTATCTAAAGCCGGGGGTTCCATCTCCAATCCCTGCTCACTTCCTACCCCACTTCCTACCTTCTTTGTGACAATCATCACTATCTGATCTGACTTACGTGTTTATTTAATATCTCTTCCCTGCTGAAATGTAAGCTCCATGAAAGAAAGGACTCTGATCATCCTCACCATTGCATCTCCAACACAGAACAGTGTAGGTGATCGAAAAAATGTTTAAGTGAGCAAATATAAACATCAATTGTATATTTAAGAGGCACTAAGACTAGAAACAGAGTCTGTCGCTAGCAGCATGTTTTACATCAACCTATGCTTTTTGTGCTTGTTATGCATCATGACCTGAGCTGCTAACAACTGGAGGCCACTCCTTACTGCAGAAGGCAGGCGTCCACCACCTGCTCAAGGCCAGCAGGTCCAGAGTGAGGAGCAGCACCTCTCTGCAGCCACATGTGCTGGTGGAACTGTCTCTGGAGGATACTTCATTCCAAGGTGGTAACTGGAGTAGTTTCTCCAAATGATCGTTTATCTCAAGGTGCAGGGTTTCCTGGTACACTGAGCTAGAGTTTACACACATTCCTGAATCTTTTGCGTTATTAAGTGCTTGTGAGGGAGATGAAGAAGATGCTTCTATTCAGCCATCCCATCTGAATACCCCCAGCACAGATCCAGTGATACCATGACCACACTGGGCATGTCTGCTCATGGGCTGTCACAGGCCCCAAGTCACACAGGCCCCAGGAGGTGGGTCCAGGATGCATCCAGAGGATGTTGGCTACAGGAAACAGGGGAGGGTGTAGGGATCTGACCAGCACTTCTCATTCTTTTATCAAACAGTGGCTGAGCTTTGTTGTAGGTTAGTAGTAGGGTACAAATATGAGTAAGACACTCTCAACTCTGAGAGGCTTGCAGATGTACAAGGCGAAGTCACAGTCCCTTCTCTCAGCTGTCCCCCACTCCCCTGGTGAAAGTAACTGTACAGAATATGATGTAATTTCCAGATGGAGAATCAGGACTGAAGAGGGTATTTAATTTAACATGTAGACCGTAAACAGCCAATGAGCATCTTCCTTTCAAACTAAAGAGGGCTGCAAATGTTTTCTTTGGTCTTAGAGAGGCAAATGTGTAAGACACGGATTGGATGAAGAACCTGCCTGTCACTCGCCAAGCCCTGCCCTGTGGTCTTATATGAGTCCCCTAATGATCAGGGGACACTTGGCTGCCCTTTGTCACCATTCCATCACAGGAGGAGAAAGTGGCTGGGTTGGCAAGGGTGGATATTCTGGGTCCCCTGTCCGAGGAGCTGTCACACAGCAGCAATCACTCACTGCTGCTCCCCCCAGCTTGATGCTGCCCAATATGTTGGGGAACTACCTTTCAGAGTCTGTGGCATATTCTTCTAAATGTAGACTTAGAATAAATTCTCAATTCCTTCTCCTAGCCTATAATGCCCTGCACAGTCTGGCCCCTGCCAGAGACTGGGGCTTTAGCATCAAAGGGAGGTGGTTGGAGTCTCTATAAAAGACAAGAGGTGTAAGTTAAGGCACCAGGGGAACAAGACAAGCTGAGACAGGGAACCAAGTGTTCCAGGCCAGAGGTGCCTCATTTACAGATCACATGATGAGATATCACTTTGCACCCATTATGATGGATTCTACTAAACAACAAGGGTTGGCCAAGATGTGGGCAAAAAATAAGAACCCTTGTGCCCTGTCAGTGGGAATGTAAAATGGCACAGCCACTATGCAAAACAGTAAGGGAGTTCCTCAATGATGAAAAACAGAACTACCATAAGATCCAGCAATGCCATTTCTCAATTTAATTTCAAAAGAATTGAAAGTTGGACCCAAACAGCTACTTGTCCACCCATGTTCACAGCCGCGTTATTCACACTAGCCAAAAGGGGGAAACAGCCCAAGTGTCCATTGACAAATGGATAAACAAAATGTGGCCAGTAGAATATTATTCAGTCTTAAAAAGGAAATTATGACACATGATGTAACATGGATGAACCTTGAGAACCTTATGCTAAGTGAACTAAGCCAATAATAAGAGGGCAAATACTGTATGATTCCACTTACATGAGGCACCTAAAGCAGGCAAATTCACAGAGACAGAAAATAGACTAGAGGTTACCAGGGGCTGGGGAATGGGGCGATATTGCTTAACGGATTCAGAGCTTCCGTCTGGGAGGGTGAGAGAGTCCTGGAATGGATGGTGGTGACAGCTGCCCAGCTCTGAACGTGCTTCTTGCCTGGTATGCTCATTAAGGAGCTCCGGGGTGGAGGGCGGCGCGGACGCAGAGTCGCAGCACCTCACGCTGTGCTACGCTTTCACAGGAATGGAAAGGGTGCAGCTCCATGTCCAGGAGACAGAGAGGAGGCCTTTCCTACCAAACATACACTCTTTTATCAGATGTGATTTACATGGCTCCAAAGAAGGATCTGAGGTGGCATACAGCAAACAACCACAAATCAGGGAAAACACTATGATACAACACAGAGCCTGGGGAAAGGTGAAGACACAAGCAGAGGCAGCACAGCAGCCAGGGCTAACTCCTTCTTTTAGTCTGGAGCTTCCTGGCAGCCAAAGCAAAACTGAACTATCTCCTGTGAGAAGGAAGAAGCATTCCAGTTTCACAAGGGAAACATGTGTTTTTAGCAATAGATACTAAAAGAATTTAGGTATACAGGACTTCGTATGTGGTGTGAAGCAATGGAACTGCCAATTCCTCAGCCAGTGTCACACACAGGCAGATTAAAAGAGGGGAGACCCAGGTACTCTGGGAATCCAGAAAGGAGGCACGAGGACATCACAGCTATGACACTCACCCAGTGGCCCTGTTTGGTTAAGCACGTATGGTTTCTTCTTACACTAATCTTCAATTACAATTAGGCTGTAGACCATAAAAGTACAATGGGAAGGGAATTCTGGGAAAGGCCAAGCTTACAAAATCTTGGCATTCTGCCCTCTAGTTGTCTAATTGGCTGTAAAGATGAAACAGAGGACAGAGAGCAAGTGGAGTGGACATCTCCCTTCAACCAGAGGATGCAAACTAGCTGCCTGCAGCC